TATATATCCTGCTCACACAAATATATTTAATGATGTGCAAAAATGTGGCATACTTTTTGGCTGCACAACGTGAACATTTACACGTTTGCACATGGCTGACAAAAAAAAACGCACAACTAACTGGGGGATAAAGAGAGATAGAGCGAAATGGAGCTAGTGGCGGTTAGAGGGGGGAACAGAGTGCTGGAGGGAGGGGAAGAGGCTGGCACACAGTTAACCTGCGTCCGCAATGCCGTTGAAATATTATTTATGGCGAATACATTGTTGCATATACCATTTGGTGCAGAGGCGTGCCCAATGCAAGGAAGCACAGACACACACATAAACAGAGAGTAAGACAGAGAGAGAGAGAGAGAGAGGGAGCAGAAGATCGTGTGGGTATACATTTTTAGGGGGTTACCCGTGCAATTGTGGCTTGATTTTAATTTTTTAGCGCGCCGGCAAATTTTTGGAAAGTTTTTGTTTATTTATTTCTTGGGCAATTTTATTTATTGTGCTCCCAGACAGTCTATAAATTTAATGAAAAACGCCTGGCCTGACAGGCGGACAGCCAGAGAGCCAGACAGACAAAAGACAGACGACTCTTACATATTAATTACATTTTTGACCGCTCTAAAAGTGCATGAATAATTGATTTGCAATATTTTTTGGGAAAAACAAATTATTTGTTGCTTTTGGTTTCATTTTCATTTTTCCTGTGCTCGCCGGGCAATGTGCTTTTAAATGCAGTATGCAAAAGAAAATAATAAAAAATGCAAAGCTATTCGAAATTGTTTACTAAATTTTTTATTTTTTTATTTTTGCATTGTTCGAATTTTTGTTCTGGCCAGACTCAGGTGCAACATTTTTTATTGATGGCAAAATTTGTTTTTTTTTTCCCCTTGCCTTAGCGGTAGCATTTGCAAATTAATAGTCGTTGATTGAAAAATTTGAACAGTTCCTATAATTTGTATATATATTGACTATGTAGCCGATGTTTATGTACATTTGTGTGTGGGCGTGTGTGAGTATATGAGTGTGTGTCCATCACTTTGTTGTCCAAACATTTTTTGCACCTGGTAAATTGGTAAATGATAAATGATATCTGATGAAATTTTAATTATTTTAGTCGACCAACTAAATTGGAGAATTTCCTTTTATCTAAAAATATTGTTGGTTGATGTAAAATACGTTGCATGATTCGAGCTTTGCTGCGGGCCAATAAAGGAATAATAAATAAATTGTTTTCTCTAAACATAAGTCAATTTGTAGCTTGAAATTGCTTCGAGCTCGAATTCGGTAAATACAATTTTAAATGAAAATAAAATAATCATAAGTTGTTTTAAATTGAGGCTGTTGTGTGCTTATATGTTTCGAGTACTCAATATTCACTCTAAAACGTGTGCTAAAGTAAAATAATCAACATTTCTTTGTAAAATGTAACAAAATAAAATAATCTTTAAAGATTTTAAAGATGCAACAAATAGAAATGGCATTTGAGGAAATTGTTGTATATGATTATACATCCGCAACTACACCACGGTATGCAGTCATTCTATCTCCCTCCCTCACACACGGAGAATCGTGTAGCCACAGCAGCTTTGTGCAAGCTTTAAGTCTCACACCAACACTACTAAAGGTAGGAAGCGCTATTAACAGTGAGTGCCGTACTCCACTGTTAATCGAGTCAGCCCATCTCTGCTGTTAATAGTGTGGCTCTTGGCTGTTACCAGAGTCAGTCTCTGTCGTTAACAGACTAGCCGCTATTAACAGAGACGCCTCGTCACAACTGCACAGCAACAGTAGCAAGCGCTGTTAACAGAGTGGTTCTCTGCTGTAAACAGACTGTCTTTATAAAAGACAGCTGAACTGAGGGCACTAGCCGAGAGGGCGAACAACGGTTATATACATATATTACAATCGACACGTTAAGTTAAAGTTAATAATATATTTATATTATAGTAAGCTTAGCGATACTAATGGTTCTATGTGTAAACACAAAGCTAAGAAGATCCCATTGGGAACATTGGGAACGTGCCCATGGATTCCCTGCATTCACATTTTCAAGTATTTAGCTCTTGAACTAATCGAGACTCCACTTCATATACGGAGAGGCAAATAGATATCGACTATGCAGTACCTTTCATATATACATTGTGTCTTTAAATAGTTCCATTGAGCTTAATTATGAAACACTTGATTTTTATTGCTGTTTCACTTCTCTACAGACATTTAAGCCCTCAAACAAAAAAACGTGAATGGAACTAGACCGATAGATACCCTAGATATAAACTAAATTGGGTTTGTTGTAATTCTAAATGAGATTGTAGTAGACAATTTAACAACTGGAATTCCAATGCAAATTTCAGTATATTATAAGACTGTATATACTCTCTACATTTACTATACCTTGCTGTTTGTCCAAATTAAAAACTATATTTTTTTAAGCTTTTACTTGTTGCCCACTTTAACCAATATACCCTCAACATACTCTACTCCATATACAAACTGCAAACCAATATCCCCTTCTTTTGCACCCTCACTAGAGGCAGGGTATTAAAGCAGACAACATTATAGACAAAACAAAGTTTCGCACACATCTTAAATGCAATTTCTTGTTGTCTGATTTGTTGGAGAACATGTACAACAGCTTTTCACACTCTGTCCAACTGTCCGCACCTGTTTCCTCTCTGGCTGCCACACCTTTACGTAATGCTCGAGCGTCAAATTAAGATATCTAATAAAACTTAAAATACACTCGACTCTTGATTTCAATTGGAGCGAATGATTTGTTTACCAAATGATCCAAAAATACCAGAAAATTGCAGTTGCAGTTGCTGTTGCACTTGCAGATGTTGCAGTTGCTGTTGCTGTTGCGGCAGCTGTTGTTGCCTTGGCACGGGACGCTATTTCTCAAGTGCCGGATATATTATGGCCATCGGGAGCTGATTTTTTATGAATGAGTCCGGGGCACAATGAGTGCACTCACGAGTGAGAGTGCAAGTGCGATTCATTGTTGTTGTTGTTGTTGTTGTTGCATTAATTTCGAACTGTTTATTGATGTGCATCCTTAGCTCTGTTTTGTATTTTTTTTCTCCTTCCTCTGCTCGGGTGTGCGAGTGATTTTCATGTACTTGAAGTACGGTGCACTGAGCTCTATTAGTTTCGGATATCAATGATATTTGGAATAAATTCAAGTGGCCTTTGAATTGCTCTAAATTGGAAGCGTGCCTCGAATTCATCCACTTGTTAAGCATTTTGTTTACATTTGACTCATTTGAATTTACGTGTTTGATATTTTTACGGTCAAGTTCAAATGGAAGGGAAAATCAGTTATTAAGTCAAAGTCTAACAGATTATTTCATTAAACTGAGGCTAATTTGTCTTAATGGTTGCTCTAATCGCAAATGAAACTGAAAACCTTTCCTAACATTTTACAGCTTGACTGATATCTTGCGGAAAATAGGTATATGGAGTATATATTTTAAGAATCGAGTTATCTGCTCGTCATCAGCGAATATGCATACCGAATAAATACTTCAATCTTTCAAGAATGTCAATGTATTTATAAAGCAAAACAAATGCAAAGCTCGAGTAAGTTTTTACGACATTTATGAACTTATAAGAATAATTATTTAAGCTGGGGCATGCCCAGTTATTCACTAATTGCTCAAATTTTATAAACATTCAGCTGACAAATCATATCAAATTTAAATTGGAAGCACGTAAACGTTCTCATGGGAATTTTCGAAAAAATATTTTATTGGGCTAGCCGATCGTTCGACTCTGTTACAATTTTCAATTTTTACTTAAGAATTGATTGATAAAACAAAAATAAAGTATTACAATTTTATTATATTTAAATTAATTATTGCAATAAATTGAAGTTATATATATTATATATGTCATATTAATAATTTTTTTTTTAATAATTTTTATTTTTTTTATATAACTGTTTGAAATATTATTTATATGAATTTTTTTGATTAGGGTTTTTTTTTAATTTGTTAAATTAAGAATATAAAGTTTAAATAAATTAAATGAATATTAATAAATTCAACTTTAAAATATATATTTATCTTTAAATAATAATTATCAATATTTTTTTAATCAATTTTATTCGTTTGTTTATTTGCTCAAAGGCCTTTCCAACATATGAATTGATAGCTTAAGTGCATCGCATCCATATTTGTGCCACATTCCTAGGCATTTGTGCGTGGACTTACTTTAATTAAGTCCATTGAATCGACCGCAGATAAATATGTATATGACAACAAATATTGAAATGACAAAGCGGGCAACTGTTTAATGCTTTGCCGGCTGCAGCTGCTGCTTCCATTTCGAGCTGATGATGAAGATATATGCGCATATTGAATGACCAATGACCAATGATCCGGCGATCCGAGTTACAAACTGCCGCCACGCCACGCCACGCCACACCACGCCAAGCCAGAGCAGAGCAAAGTAGTCTGTGATACAGTTCAGTTCATTTACGAGCTATTCGATGGCCAAGCACGCTGATGACAAGACCAAATAACCAAAACAGCATCGAGCAAACAAAAAAAAAAAAACGCCAACCAAAACACAGTTCGAAACGAAATTCCTATGAAAACTTGTGCCCGTCTCTTGATTACATGTATCTGTCCCTCGGTGTCTCTTGCCGTCCGTATGCAAACTGGAGTAAACTTTTATTAATTGAGCTGGGCAAATGTATGCATACAATACAATATATAGATATCTCTGTATATGTATGTACCCATGCACGTCAAGCAAAGAACAACGATGACGTCGCAATGCAGCCACAGCCACAGCAGCAGCCACAGCCACAGCCACAGCCACAGCAACCACAGGCAATCGCAAGCGCCGCCACCTCCAGCAACGTTCATTGATCCACAGCCAGAGGCGTATGCGACACTTTATACACTATGAAATGCGTGTCATACAGCTAGAAAAAGCTGCAAAAAGACTTTCGTAACTAAATAATTTCTAGTAAAATATCGCATTAATATCTACAGCCTAGTCCAAATATTGTAATATCGTAAGACCAGTTATATATAATATAACATAAGCTAATTATAAATATAAATATAGTTCTAACTGAGCTCAGGAGCACTGATGATCTACCCTAATTCAGTTTAACCTAACCCCAACCCAGTATTCATTGGAACCTAGCTGAACTTAAGCTAACCAAAACTTTTACAATCTTTACTTTTTCAATCCTTTCAAATTATATATGTATTTTTAGTAATATAAGTATATATTTTGCGTCTTCATCATATTTTGTGACGAGGCACTATAGTTATTATCATTAAATAAATAATAATGTAAAATTAAAAAATGAAAATAATAATGTAAATATACAAAAAGCAATAATAAACTTTTATACATATATATACTTTATATATATTTTGATATATACATATGTATATGTATCAGAAAATCAATATATATTTACTTCGTATCAGTGTTATTTTATTTTTGCCTTTAAAGTTTATTTTATTTTAATTCCATCTCAAATCTAACATGCATATCACAATCTAACAATGTACAATCTAACATGCATATCACATAATAAATTGTTTAAATATTCTTAACTTAAATTGTTAACGAAAAGTACATATTTAAGTAAATTTTAATTTTTCTTAATATCAAGATAAAAATTTTTGAAATTTAATTATGATTAATACATTCTTCCAGCAACATATGTGTTTTCCTAGAGTATCCATTCGGCTTTCAATAAAAATATTTCTAGATCCATAATATTTATAAAATTGCTGGGAATTATTGCTGTTTTTATTATTTTTCTTTTTTATTTGACTTTTGTCACGGCTGTCAGTAAATAATTCAAATGATTTTGCAACTAGATTTGGATTTCATGTTTTGTGTCGCCTGTCGGCCGTCGGCTGTCGTTGGCGCTCGATGGAAATGTATCTTTTGATATATAATATAGATTTACATCTATGCATGTGCCAGTGTCTGCATCTGTTCTGTTTATTCATTTAAATCGTGCAGTCGGTCGGTCGGTCATTAGGCGAGTGTCTGGGGACGTATAAAAGCCAAAATTCGAATTAAATAGCGAACAGTGAACAGAGAACCATGGGATTTTCACAAAATGAGATATTCAAATGTTTTACTAAGAAATATGTATGCATCTTCAAGATACTCAGATACACACACACATATATATCAAATTATATATGTATGTATGTATATAAGTTTTATGAAAAGTAATACGTGGCTGGAACATTTTTGATTTCATTGTTGTCTGTTTGGTTGTGCTTTTCATTTATTTCAACAGCTGGCCAAGCGCCACATGAGTAATTTGCTCCTCTTCCCCCTTTTACACATATGTATATGTATGTATATGTATATGTATGTGTATACAATGACTCTGCGGGCCTGTTGCCTTTCGCATGTTGTTTATAAACGCACGTTGCTATATTTAAATAAAAGTTCCCAATTTGTTTATCTCCATAGAATATTCACATGCTTCGAGTCACTTGTTCCGCTTACTCAAGAGAGTTAGTCGGAGTGTGGAGAACAGGGGAAATTCGAATTGACAGTGAAAATGTTACAAAACACTAAACCAAGAGATACAAATCTAAATATAGTTTATATGACGCAGCAAACCTAGAACAAACATAAATGTGTTACGAATGCTCTAGCCGCGAGTGCTGCAGGCAGAGATACCTAGAAATCAATCATTAAATAGCTAATGTCGATCATTATCATGTTGACTAAAAGTTGTCATTATCATCAAGCGAAAAGCGAAAAAGCATTATCAATTTCAGTATTATTAGCTTACACTTTATTACTACGATCGTCGGTATTAAAGATCTATTGCTATTAAAATGATGTTGACATCACCATACGATCATCATTATCTATATAGCAATCATAATAATCAATATCGATATTATTATTTTAATCTTCCCATCATAATCATTCTCAGTTTTATTAGCTTCTTCATAATCAACCTCTTTATCCTGTTTAGCAACACTTACATCTTGCTTATTATAATTATCTACGTTCAAATCATCATCGACATCGTAATTGAAACAATAGTATTTTTATATTATAGCTGTAACTATCATTATTATTATGATTAGTTATAGGATCTCATCACAATATGTTCTAAAAATTTATAGACAATGATCAATTTTTAATCTAACTCTAAATCTATACCGAAAGTTGTTAAAACAAAAATAAGAAAATATGTTTTAAGAATCAGATCAACTCAAAAAGAAAATCAAAGCTATATCGACAGATTGGTGTAAACTCGACCTCATGGAAAGGAACGTTCCGATTAAGATGCTGCCAGACGAATCAATTTTTGGCTTTCGATTCTACGACACAGTTTTGAAAATTCATATTTTTTTTACAATCGGCTTAATAAACATACAATCACAAATTTCGATACGATACTAGAAAATTACAAAAATTAAAAACTGCAGCTAGGATCGGTTCTTAAAATTCTCAAGCATGTTTCAACTGACCGCTCGCCCAACCATCCATCCAAACATTTGCTGTCATTCGACTAAACGGACCTTATACCGTGCTTCAATAGTGTCCTGTGCACAGTCAGGCCCTCGGAGAGCTGATGCAACACTACGGATTTCGAACGGCTTTGCACCAGATTCCGTCCCACACGAGGCACGAGCGAACGCAACAGAATTGGCATAAATGTTTTCATGATAATTGGAGACGGCATTTTACGCAAAATTTACAATTTTAAAAGTGAAAACGAAAAACAAAAAACTGAACACAAATGCTTGGTTACAAACGGAAATCTATAAATCGAATAAACATTCTCCCACATACAGTACACATAGCTGAATTTACGATTGCTTCGATGCAAAACTTTTCGAAGCAACTTTTCCGAAACATTTCGAAGGCTGCTTGTCAATCCTCTCCCATCTGTATGTTTGAGGAAAGTCACGAAATTTTCCAATTAATATTCCAATGTATTTTTAAAAATCCCATTCAGTTGAAATTTCAGGCTCTCTCATGAATATATCATAATGAAAAATGGGCATGAATCGAATATGAATATTTAGTTATATGTACATACATATACATACATATAGTATATACGAATCATATTAGATTTTAGATCAATGAAATTTACAAATTGTTTTGTTTGCTAGATATGGACAGATATACGTAAGTACATATGTATCTGTGTATCTGATAATGCATGATAAAGATATTTATTAAAATATATGTTTATTTATATACAATATGCAATTACACATTTCATTTAAGAATTCTAAAGTATTATTTGCATTATTAAATTAATTGAAACTCACCGATCATATTTTTTCCATACATAAATGCATCCAATAATCAGCACGCATATGCAAAGGCATGTTAATATATATTTCACACGATCTATACCGCAAATGTCGGTCTTTAGATTATCATAAGTATCACGCGAGCTATTGAACAATTGATCACAGCGTATAAGATTAAAAACCGGACCCATTTTGACGAAGCCCCCCCCAAAAAAAAAAAAAAAAGAAAAATACTGAAGCCGAATCTAATAACTTTTCAGAGATCACGAAGAAATGAATACATTAATTTTGAGCTTCACACATTTTGAATACATTTATTTCAGATATCATTTAGATTTTCCACAAACACTGGGCCAGACGATTCTTCTGCCACATTCATAGTTTTATTTTGCGCACGAGGAATATGTCGATATTTGGAAACCGCACAGAAAATTGAAAATGTAAACAAATTATATTTCGCAATTACAAATATACAGAGCAGCAACTAGTTTTCTATACGTACTTATTTTATTGTACTTGTTTTGCTTCAAAAGATGTTTCGTATTTTAGATACACACATTGTATCTGTATATAGCATGTGTGTGTGTGTATGCATGTATAGCATATAGTATATAAACATAAAACTCACGCCGCGTTCGCGTTTTACTTTTAATTTGGTGTGTTTTATCGCAATTATTGTGAATATAAACAAAACGGTAGAGACATTAAATGAAATATGCGCACGTTTCTACTGATTCGAAGAAGACCGAACAATTTTCCCGTTAGTGGCAGCTGCCCCAACCGTCTGCAGCTGAGTAGCGCAACGTACTGAAGGAAACGGTCAACGAAGAATTCTCGCTCAAGAAGCTGTGCGTGCGTGAGAGACAGACAGTGGGAGAGAGCGAGGGAGAGCGCCAGCTTGCAAGCAAAACAGCCGAGCGACCGAGCAACGGAGCATGCATGCACGTGCACGATCGCGCAAAAGCTTTCGCGCATTTCGTTTATTCTTTTACCCTCTACAAATAGCAGAGCGAGGCATGTCAAACGGATATACAGACATGCCCTGCGCTTGCAAGGAAATTTCACTTTTCAATTTCAATATTTTCTTAGCAAAGCCAAACAAGTTTTAAATAAATGATGTTTATTTTTACAGTCAGGTACTAAAGTTCACATTTTACGTACTATTTTCATGTAAGCATGCATGTACGAGGTATATTTTAGTTGGGCACTTGTCGAATACTAGCCTCTCAGTGTGTCGTTACGTAAGTTTGTTGATTTTTGTGTTGTCTGCATTGTTTTTGTTTACATGTGTTTTGCTTATTTGCCGGTGTTTGGCTACAGTTTGAAAGTCGCTGACTGTCAAACTGCATGAAATGTGAAACAGCCGGTTTTGAATTTAAAGAGACGACTTGAAATTATCGTTGCTTGGTTGGAAATGTAGAAAATAGGAAAATCATGCTACCTGCCAAGTTTTTTTTTTAATATTTATTATTATTTATTACCCTTTTTTATAATTCCCCAAATTTAGGTTCTCCTCCTGCAGGTCGAATACGTTGCTGTCGCTTAAAATGCTACATGGCCTTAGGCTGCCCCAGAGATTGTTGCTTCCACTTCTAAAATGTCAAACAATAACTTGGGGAAAGCGCAGCTTGGCCAGTGATGCTATACTGCCCACTGTGCTGGTACACGGTGGTGCCGGGCATATAGACGCCGACAAGGTGGAATGCGTGAAGTTGGGCGTCAAGCAGGCAGCGCAACGAGGCTATAAGGCCATGCTGGAGACGGGCAGCGCCCTGAATGCTGTGGAGCAGGCGGTCATGGTTCTTGAAGCAGATATTCACTTCAATGCCGGCTATGGATCCGTGCTGACAGAGAATGGCAATGTGGAAATGGATGCGTCGATCATGGACGGCTCCCGACTGGAAGGCGGCTGCGTTACAATGGCACGGAGCATAATGCATCCCATTAGCCTGGCCAGGTGTGTCATGGAGAAGACGAATTATCGGTTTCTAGCAGGCGACGGCGCCATGCGCTTGGCCAAAGAGGAAGGATTCGAAATTCTACCCAAGAATGCCTTGGTCACAGAGGCATCGCAGAAACTCCTCAAAGTATTTAAGATCTCAAATACTGACACGCATTTCAACGTGGTTCCGGGCACCGTTGGCGCTGTGGCCATTGATGCGGGCGGCAATGTGGCAGCAGCGACCTCAACAGGTGGTCTAACAGGTAAGTTGTCGGGTCGTGTTGGGGATTCGCCAATACTGGGAGCTGGCACCTATGCGGACAATGAGGCAGGTGCTGTCTCAGCCACTGGACACGGCGAGTCGATCATGCGCTACAATTTGAGCTCACGCGTCTTGGCGCTGGTGCGGCACAAGAATTATTCGATACAGCAGGCAGTGGAGGAGGTGCTACAAAATATGACCGCTCATTTCAAGCAGACGGGAGGCCTAATAGCCATCGATCATCGAGGCCAGCTAGGCATCTATTTTACCACTGAACTCATGTCCTGGGCCTATCAGCAGGGCAAGGAGCTGCACTGCGGCGTAGAGTTTGGTGAGGATGAAGTGGAGATTGTGGACGATGATACATAGAGCTTAAAGAAATAGATGTATAGAGCAGAACATTAACCTATAATTTATAATTTATATCTATAATAAATAAACATTTTCTAATTTAAAACTGGTCGCAGCCAGAACAATGAGATTGAAAACCACTCAAATGGAACTACAAAAATCACAGCTGCCGCAGATGGTAAATAAGCGATTGCCCGTTGGCTGTGCCTCTATGAAGAACTGCAGCGCCTGGGTGCAGTTCAGCTCGTGTTCGTTAACTTTCTGTTTAATCAATTGCTCCAATTGCGGCTTGTCTGCGGCGTGCTCAAATCGTGCACCACATTCGCAAGTGTATAGAGATTTGAAGCGCTGCAGCGACTTGATCAAACACACGGGACAAATCAGTTCATGAACTTTTGGATCGGTGTCCGGCTCAGTATACAGTGCTTCCAGGTGCTGCTCTTGTAGGGCATACCATTCATTCACATCGGAGAGCAGCTCCTCATAGACATGCTGTTCCAGTTCCAAATCCTGGTCCAGTTCTTTTAGCTCTAATCGTAAAATTTCTTCGAGCTCCGACTAGAAATCAAGTTTAATTAACTAGTTCTTAATATTTTGTGGCACCAAATTACCAGTTGCACTTTCCGATTTCCATCGACTCTGTCGTTGCGTGCATTTAAAATCCGTATGCGACATTTCTGTGGGTTAAACAAGTTGAATTTTAGCTACAGTGAAACCACTCAATTTTTTCCTTACCTCTCGCAGCATTTCGCGCAACTTTGGCATGCCTATGCGTTGTTGTCTGGCCACATTTTGTGCATGACGTTTTTGTTCAACACTCGTATGGTTAATAGGACTGCTGGGACACTGCATTTGAGCACACAATTCTAAGAAATAAGCAATAATATGAAATGTCTACAAACTGTGAAATGCGCGGGCGAACGCCACCAACCACAGCTGATTTTTCTTATCGGTAATTTATCGAAGAACAACCATAAAATTTTCACAGTGTTTAACAACACTGCTATACAGAGTTGCTTTGTGTATATTTTGACAATCGCAACATGGCGTACATCGAGCTTCCGCTCTTTCTTTCCCTTTCTTTTACCAACGTGCATAGTGTCTAGTAAAAGGTTAGTGGTATTTTTTCAAATTTATCAACGAGAACCGTTCTAAAATGATGCAAATTTGTGCCTTAAACAGATGCCAGCCCCGGCCGCTAAGAAACCAGCAGCTAAAAAGCTGCCCGCTGTGCCGGAATCCAAACTGAAGTTCAGCAAGAAACAAATCAGCAAGCGTGTTGCTGAGACGAAACGTCGTCTAAAGCGTGTCGCTGTCATTGCCCTGCGCAAGAAGGAGAATCTGGTGCGTGCTGAAAAGTACCAGAACGAGTACATCAAGGCTGATCAGCGTGAGATCAAGCTCCGTCGCTTGGCCAAGAGCCGTAATCAGTTCTACGTGCCCGCCGAAGCCAAATTGGCATTCGTTGTGCGTATTCGCGGGTGAGTGGATTTGTCAGAATCACGCTTGTTTTGTTATTAACTGCTAACTTATGCACTTGCAGTATCAACAAGGTTGCACCGAAGGTACGCAAAGTGCTGCAGCTGTTCCGTTTGCGCCAGATCAACAATGGTGTGTTCATCAAGCTGAATAAGGCCACCATCAACATGTTGCGTATTGCCGAGCCCTACATCACCTGGGGTTATCCCAATCTGAAGTCGGTGCGCGAGCTGATCTACAAGCGCGGCTTTGTTAAGCATAACCGCCAGCGTGTGCCAATCACTGATAACTTTGTTATCGAGCGCAAGCTCCGCAAGGCGCATGGCATTCAGTGCGTTGAGGATTTGGTCCATGAGATCTTCACCGTTGGACCCAAATTCAAGTACGCCTCCAACTTCCTGTGGCCCTTCAAGCTGAACACGCCAACCGGCGGCTGGCGCAAGAAGGCCAATCACTACGTCAACGGTGGTGACTTCGGCAACCGCGAGGACAAGATCAACAGATTGCTGCGCAAGATGGTCTAAACAGCTGAGGTGTGCAGTGAAATAGTTTAAAAACACAGTAAACGGTCTGGCAAACAGCGAAAGAAATAAAATTAATTCTTTTTATGAAAGTACCACAATGCCGTTCGAAAAATCAAAAGGGTTTTCTCTTTTCTGTTGCCATTTATGTTGCATTAGACATACTGCAGAGATTGGATTGAACAAAAAAAAAAAACATTTTGTTGACAAATATAATGAAGTTATAGCAATTAGATATTTGTATCCGCTATAGACTGTGCATTGTAGACAGATTTAAAACTTGCATTTCAATTTATTGGATTTGACTGCAATTAGATATGCTTTGTTTTATTTTGAACATATACTCAAAATCAAGCATAATTGCTATATAGATCAAGCCTGTCGATTCCCAATAATTTAATAACAATTTACATGCATATGTCAAGTGCAATAAATTAGAGATGGACTTTTCAACCGTGATCGTGATTATGTAAAGCAGTCTGTTAAGTTAACAGTGTAACGACAGTGCTATAACAATGAGTAAGGAGTATATACCCACATATGTATATATTTATATCTGGGAATAATGTTTATTGCGATCCATTTGAACACGCCAAGGTTCTTTCCGATTAGCCACGCCCCAAGTCGGCATTTGAAAATATCTGAAAGCTATTTAAGATATGCAAATATTACACATTTTGGGTCTTTTGATTAAAATGAGATTTTTGTTTATTTTTACATTTTATTAAATAAAAACAATGGATTATACGGCCATTTCCATTTGAATCTTGCCGTACGGATTGTAACCAACAATTTCGAAATCCTCGAAGCGAAAATCCTCAATATTCGTAACTTGCCTCTTGAAGACAAGTTTGGGGAAGGGACGTGGTTCACGTTTCATCTGCTCCAGCAGGGGATTCACATGATTATTATAGACGTGAGCATCACCCAGCGTATGGACGAAATCGCCGGGCTTCAAACCCGTCACATGAGCGATCATGTAGGTCAACAAGGCATACGAGGCGATATTGAAGGGTACTCCCAGACCCATGTCGGCGCTGCGCTGATACAGTTGGCAGGACAATTCACCACGCGACTGCGATACATAGAATTGGACCAGGCAGTGGCATGGCGGTAATGCCATTTGGGGTATGTCCAAAGGATTCCAGGCGGACATTATGATGCGACGATCCGCCGGATTGTTGCGTATAGTATCGATGACCTGTTGCAACTGATCAATACCCTGGCCTGTGTAGTCGTCGGTGCATTTACCATATTTAGCGCCAAAGTGACGCCACTGAAAGCCATAGACTGGACCCAGATCACCCACCTCGCGATCCGTGTGGCCACATTTGTCGAGAAACTCGCGGGTGCTATTACCATCCCATATGTGGATATTCTTCTCCTGCAGGATCTTTGCATCTGTCTGCCCAGCAATGAACCAGATCAGCTCCTCGGCCACGCCCCGAAAGAAGACGCGCTTGGTGGTCAGCAATGGGAACGAATCGCGTAGATTAAAGCGCATCTGGGCGCCAAAAATGGATCGGGTGCCCACCATGGTACGATCCATCCGCTCGTCACCATTCTCGATAATCCTTTTTATCAAATCCAAATACTGTTCTTCATCTTTGTTCCTCAACTTCTGAATTTGACTATCCTCTTTATTTCGTTTCTCGAGCGAACAGTCCTGATCCATTGACTTCATCAGTGCATCCAAGCGCCTTTTGGCAGGGGAAAGAGTTTCCTTCGCAGGGGAAGTTAATTGTTTCGAAGGACTAACCATTTTCGAAAATTAGAAAACAATTTTGTCAGTTGATCACTGGATGTTTGTTGACTTAACTTTTTGGCGGTAAAGCTTGCAGAAAAGCCCGCCAGAGATATTGGGAAAATACAACCGTGTGAAATGGCGATAAAGTCTATTTGAAATTGTTGAAGCGATAAGCCAATTGTTAGTTTTTTTAGTTTTTAATTTACAGATTCTAAGCTATTATATTGTTCATTGATATTAAATAAATTTAATTACCTAATTTTGTAACTGCTCAACAAAATACACATTTCGCGGAGTTTCGAGAGAAATAATTGTAAATATTTGCAAAAATTGGCAAACATTTAGAAAATTTCATGAAATTTGTATTAATTTATTTATGGCTCAATTTGTCCAAAGTGGGATGTCACTATCGGAGTTCATGCATAGAAAGAGCCAAATCCGCTATTTCCGAAATATCGATAAGTATCGAATTTACGTACCGCATCCACATCTGAATTTTATTTATTTTTATCTTTAATAAGCGCAATCATATTAGCATTTGCCATTAAAATGCACCCTCACATTCTATAACTAAAGAAAGGTTTTGCCGATTTGATTTAAGCTAGCAATAAGTCGTTATTTTAGTCCTTTTAGAATGGTAGTCATCGATCGTATCGATAGGTTTTCTTAGTCCCTTCAAATAGATTGCTCGTTAACATAAAACCGACTTTGTTTTTTAATTGTTATAACATTTGATCATACAATCCAAATGGATTGCCGGTTCTAATGCTATTGATTTATAATTGTTTTTACAGGGCTGTAAGAAATTTGTTCTCACTATACGAATATTTGAAACTGTCGGTAATAAACGAACAATTGAAAAATGGTTTGAAATCTCATTTTAAATCAAATACTATTAATATATTATCAACTTATATTGTTTTAATTTTTGCCTCGTAGCTGGCAGTGCTTCTTAATTGTATAACTGTGAAATACATATATTTAAGTATATTATTTCATATAAGAAAAGTCAAAAAAGTAAACAACATAATCGAACGACGTGAAAAAAACGGCAATCAATTTACAGATTTTGGTTTTTTTGTTAAAACATATGCGATTTATATAGCATTTTACATTTTACTTAGTCTATATGCGAACGGTATTACGCGCAATTGTCCTTTACTGAATTTTAAATTGTTTTGTTCTTTTTACTGATGTGTTGTGGTAACATGTATATTCTGTACCAAACGCTGTCCCCAATACTCTTCCAGATTGAATGGTTTGAAATTTTTTAATTGATTATCAGATTCATTGCAGTATATTTCACCCTGTTCGCTAACCTGTAAGTAGACGAAAAACAATTTTTAAAAACAAATAAAATCCCATACACCATAAGGAAAAATGACCTGCCACAAGATGCTATAAATTGTCTGACCAATATATAAATATATCATCTATATACTCACTTTATTCCAAGCCTCACGAATGTAACGTATTAATTCATCGTGCTGTGATATGGGTACATTTTGCTGCGGTTGCTGTTGTTGTTGTTGTAGCGAGACAGTTGCATAGAGCACATTGGTGTTAGTTGTTGTATTATTAATGCTATTATTGGAGTATTGTGTGCTATGCGATGTGTTTGTTGCTGTCGATGCCGAAGATGGCGAAGCTGACGACGCAGCCGATGCTGAATTTGCATTATTATGATGATGATGGTTGTGTGGTCCGTTGCCGCTGCCCTGACGGCGAATGTAGGGATAGCGTCTACAATAAAGTTATATACATATTAGGTTAGCCAACTCAGTTTTTCAATATCGCATAGTTTTTCATGCAAAACACATACACACATGCATGCACATCTACACTCGCAAACACCCTCAATCACTGAGTGTTTACTTTTTTCAATTTGTATGCGTCACAAGCTTAGTGTAGTAGAAAAATCTTATGTGTGTCAAGGATTTATATGGCTTACCCGTTGTTGCGTTCCATTTTGTAATTGTGTTGATAGAAAATATTGCTTCAGTTGCTTCTTTTTGTTTATCACACAATTCCCAAATCTATTATTGGGAGAGTTGTGAACTATTTTTTTCTTTTCGTTGTTGCATTTGACAATATTATCGACTGCCCCCCCTATCGATTAATGAAAATGTGTTGGCAGCGCCAAAAGCCGGTTGGCTAACAGAGACGAAAATATACTTAACAGCTGCTGCAATTCGCAGACGTTAAAATATGAAAACAAACCTTGCACAATTTCATTTTACGTTTATTTCTATAAAATTCATAACATATATATTTTGTTCAATTGTTAATAATAATTGAAAAAATAGCTGCACATATGCGTATACATACACTTACAATATAAAAAGGAAATGTAGATAGAGAGCAATCATATAAAAATTTTTTACAAAAGAATTATCATATATGTATGTATGTATATATGTACATATATAGTTCTTACTGAGCATTGTTAAACACAACACAATGTTAGTTAATCAATCATCATTTCGACAATATGACCATCTCATATGTATTTCGATAATAAAACCTACTTTTGTCTTTAACATAATAAAATGCACATTTGTTAAAATTTTCGTCATTAGATTTGGCAGCACCAAGGGTACGGTAGGGGGATAAGGGATAAAGGAAGGTATATATTTAGGTAAATTACCGTAAGATTCGTGATAACATATAATTTTATGCCTTTGTGCTGCATAACATATGTATACGTATTACGAATAACAGTTAGATTTGTGCTAATAGTTTCAATTTCTTTAATAATAAACTATTTTGGCGATGCGTTGCTTACAAATGAAGTAAGCAACAATTATTTTTACATTTATAACGTAAACAAACATATTACAGCAGTGCTGGGAAACAATTGAAAAGCTTGAAGCAGCATTCCCATTATCTGTTGTCGAAGTAGTTGTAGTAAAAGTGAAGTATGTCAAGGATGATATTAAAAATTAAAGTGACAATGAGAGTATATCAAGGATATTGGAATTCATTTTGGAAATTAATGTGACAACATCTTACATAAAGAGTGCACTGCTATTCGATTGTTTTCCAGTTCAGCACGGAAGTTAACATACGTAGAGATTACAGATCATCATCGCCAATGCCCTCGAATGCTTCGTTGCGTACGGACGCAGCCGTGTCGTCATTGCGAAAGAAAACCGCTGCAAAGGTGCGAGCCGTTGTCAACTTGTGTTGCTGCTTGGAGCGTTGAGCTAGAAACTTAACCGGCGGCGTCATCGTGGTTGATGTACCTGATGTCGTGGTGCAGGACGAAGAAACGGAACTGGGCGTCGATGTGGTCGATTCCGATGCGCCGCGCGAGGTGCTCGCCTCCTGCTCATCATCGCTGCCGCCGCCGCCGCCATTGCTGTCGCTATGCAAGAGCTCATCGACCATCGCCTGCAGGGACACCGACATGAGCATCGCTTGCTGGCTGGTGATCGTTATCCAGCGCAGTGTTTGCTTCGACATCAGATACTCAAAGGATAACTGAAGTTGCGTGGGCTGATCCCGCGACTCGTACGTATTATGCATCGCACTCACTCGCCAGCATCGCATCCGTGTGACCCGGAATTTGGTCTCATAGATCTTGGCACCGCGTGCTGTGCGCAGGCTCAGCTCCCGATTGCCAATGGTCACCAGCGCTGTGGTGTCCAGCTCCGGATAGTCCACTTGTGCGGCGCCGAACTGCAGACAGCCATAGGAGGGCAGCTGGCGCACTAGTTCCAGATATTGCAAGGGCCGCGACTGCAGCTGCAAACTACACAGCTCCCGCCGCATTTCAGGCGTACATATGATCCATTCGCGAGCCACATCCGCAAGCGTCTGATTGTAGAGTAGGTTGAGGGCAACACTGTTGCCCAGCAGCTTGGCATCCCAGCGCGAATTCCAGTAGCACGTGCGCAAGAGCAATTGACAGGGCTGCGCATGCATGCGCGAAATGTACGGCGATTCGAAGTCCATCAGGCGACGCAGCAACAGTACGGCGGACGGATCATCAGGTGTGGACGAGCAGGAGGAAGATCCCTCTTCGGATGCCTCCACATGTCGCATGAGATACAAACAGAAGAATTGCATTAGTTCGTCAGGCAACTGCAGCATGCGACAGACGGACTGCAGCAGAGCGGTTGCATTCTGCTGCACATGACAATTGACCAGCAATTGTACACCACTTCCTCCTCCTGGTCCTGCTGCCCAGCCACTATACACCTCCACTTGAAGCTGCTGCTGCTCATCCTCGCGACTAACCGAGCACTCGGCCAGCGCCGTGTCCAATTGAGCGCGCTGCAGAAACTGTTGCAAGTATGGGAGGCGTACGATTCGCGCATCTTGGCCAATTATCTGCAAGTAATGCTCCAGTGCGGCACGTCGAGTCTCCAGTTGACTGTTGCTCAATGGCAGCAGTCGCTTGGGTGGGAATGGCGGCAAGGCGGCGTCCGTGCAACGCCTACGCAGCTGTTCGTGCAACGCGTGTAGCTGCTTGTAGCGCAAGCAGCAATGATAGTTACCATTAATGTAGATATTGTATACCGTGTATGTGGGCGAACCACCGCTTCCATCCGCATACTGTTCCTGTGTGTCTGGTATTGAGAAATGCATTTTGTTGAAGTTGTGTTGCTGTTGTTGTCGTTGTTGCTGGACGCTGCTGTTGATGCGTTCACTATTTCATCGCGTTTTACTTGTACGTCATTGACATCTCTAGCCTTTTATTGGCCGATTAGTCACTGCGCTCTTTTATTTGTACATGTATTAATTTATTTAATTAAAGAAATTGCGATTGAGTTTTTTCACCTACACGCTGGAGGTGAGCAACTCACTTTGGCACTATCGATTATTGTTAATTTATTCATCTATCGATTTTTTAACTGCAGATGGGCTCTAAGCGGAAAAATTCAACATGTACGAAAATGTTTTCAAGTTAATGTGATGTTTGAATTAATATTATTACATTTTCTTTCTTTTAAAAGTCTCATATAATTTGATTTTAAGATTGTAAAAATGAATTTAAAAGTTTTCATACATGTCTATGTTCTCTAGTAGACACTAAAGTATAATTAGAATTTATACCCTTTGATTATTGTCGTTTTGTCTTCTTTTGATTTAAGAAAAATAATTATAAAAAAAAAGAGTATATCCACTAACCAGAGAACACATAGACTAGACAACTAGTGGAAAGCTTTTTGCACGCT